GTGACCAAATGTGCTGTTGTGAGGAAGTGCTCACCTTGGCGGACCGACTCCATGAAGTCGACGAGCTCACGCGAAAAGGTGTTGGATACTCCTTTTCCTTGTGCATGAAGAGTCGCCCGACCGCCGTTCTTTGTTGGTCGCCCGCCGGGTTTCGTCGCCGCCATGTATGTCGACGCCTTGCTCATCCAACGTCGAAAGGTTGCCTCCGGGATGCTGTACGTTTGTGCAAAGTTCCTTGCACTTGCACATGGGCCAAGGAGAGCGAATGTCTGGAGGTACACTCGGATTTGGCGGACTGTGTATCGACGCTGCCGGCGTTTTGCAACACGACGAGGTGGCGTCATTGGATAATGCTCGCATGTCAAAAGTGATCCTGAGTCAACCAATTAGATTTAAATCTTGTATTTGAACTAGCCAATCAGGGCTTGTGGATGAGGGACACTGTGATTGGACAATATTGATTCATTTTCATTGCATTTCTGTCCTTTCGATTTTATTTTATTATTGGCAGTACTACTGTGAGCCAGTCTCAATGCAGTTCTCTGTAATAGTTCTAGTACTCCGGAGTAGTAATTAGAGCATCTGCACCGGTACCAGCAGTTCTCATATCCCAATAATTTTTTGGGGCGATTTACTGGAATTCCAAATAATCCGTTCGCACCGGTACCAATAGCCAGTAAAAAAGTTACTGGGCTCTACTATCAGATCACTGAGTGCTGGGGAATGCTGGGGCATGCGATGACAATCTGCTCGGCCAGGAAGCCGCGGACAAGATCCTTCCATCCGATCTTGTCCACGGCGGTGGAGCGGAGGGCTTGCAGGTCGGTCAGGCACGTGAGGCGCTGGAGCCGGGGACGGTCTTGAGGTCAGCGTTGAGGACGCGAGGCAGCGACGAGATGGGCGCCCAGGCCAATCCTCAGCAACGGAAAAGCTGAAGGACCGGGCCATGGACTTGTAGACCGCTGGGGCCTCCTTGGCCACATCCTATGAGGTTGATGGGACACCGGAGGATGTGGCCAAGGAAGCCCCAGCGGGAGCGGAGCAGGCGAAAGCTCCTTGGCGACTGCGCCGACGCAGTCGCCAAGGGGGAATGGGGAACAAAGCCACGCAATCGATCGAGTCACAGGTGAATATGATTGGTCAGTTGACTTACTGGAGTCCAGTACTCCAACAAAACTTCCAACAAATTTACTGGAATATTTGTTGGAGTAGTGGAGTCCAGTAACTTTTTTACTGGCTATTTAAAGCGTGCTCGGAAACGCAAAGACCCACGCAACCAAGATGGGTACGATGCGCGTAAAGTGCTGCTAAAAACTATAGACGCACCCTATTTTTCATCGATATCTCATCTTGTACTATAGTGAACAATTTGGCCAAGAAATCATGAAAGTCGACAAATGTTCAGTTTTTAGGGTGTGAAAAACTATAGCACTTCCAAATTGGTAGTTATTTATCAATTGCTGCACCATTCCGAAGGATGACCTGTGCCATTCTAGTTGGCATAAGTTACCATCGACCTGTTGACGCAAGTATTCTTGGGTAAGTAGGTCCTAAGAAGCACATATTTGGGCCTTCAATTCACCGACTAACTCAAACTGACGTCCACATTGGTACACCAAATACGCCAGTTGCCCCCAAACGTTCTCAAAAGGGTTGAGATCAGGGCTCTTTGCGAGCCACTCCATGACTTCAATATCGCTAACGTCGATGTGCGCCTTCGTACGTCGCGAAACGTGGATTGAGGCGTTGTCTTGTTGAAACATCGGCCTCAAAACACCATGACGTTGCCGTAGATTCCCGAGCAGTGGGCGCAGGTACATGTCCAACGTTTGGCAGTACTTTGCTGAGTCTTGTCTCCCATCCAAAATGGCCAGCTCGGTTCGGCCGTCAGCGCTCATCCCGGTCCATATCATATCGCATCCCCCGCCACTGACGCCCTTGGGGTAAATTTCCTTTTGTGATGCGGCTTTAGGGCAGGGCAAGGTTTACGCTTGATATACTTCGCCATCTTCAACGAAGATGGCGAAGTGTAGCACCAGCGAAGGGGCAACGCTTGTCATGCCTGACGTGCTCCTCATCGAGAACATGCCATCGACGTTGCTATCCATTACGGCTATGATGAGAGCCAACCGCAACTTCTCATTCACCTACGACGCCATGAAGTGTAGCATCAAGCACAACGGCACCTCCATCGCCACCACCACGCTGGATACCAAGAACAATGTGTACGTCCTCGGTCAAGCAGACACCCACGAGAGGTACAAATTTGCAGCCCACGCGCCAACAAGACAAGAACGCTTATGAATGAGATATCAGATCTCTGGCACCAACGGGTGGAACACTTAATCATAGCCGCCGTCAACCGTTGCGGCGCCATGGGACTCGGAACTCCCAACAACTTGCGCGAACCACCAACGAAATGCGACTGCTGTGTGAAGAACAAGATCACCAAGATCACGCCACCCAGGGGAGGTGTTGAGAATGTTGGTCATTCTCTGGAGCGATCGCCTTCGTTGCTCCGCCGCGTCGACAGTTCAATAAAACGGTAATTTTATGTATATTGTGTGATGGAACTTCATTTTACTACTAGTATGCTAAAATTGCATTGGATTATTAAGAATCGGATTCACAAATCGAGGCGAAACAGTCATACTATTAGGTCCTGTTCCAAGTAGATATTTTTAGCAAAATGTAAAATTGGTTCCAAGTACAGTTTCCTACCTTTTTACTACGTAGTACTTCGAAGTATTATTGAACTTGTGGTCAGATTTATATTTGGATTTATTGAGACCCTATAAAACCTACCGGTGGGAGCAATAAGTCCTACTGCGAAGTATCTAACTGTAAGGGCCTGGTTGAAGTAATGAATCACCCACTTTTTCAGCACCCACTTTTCCTCGTTAACTATGTGGGCACTCACTTATATAAAAAGTTCATGGAATACCAACTTTTTGAAAAAGTGGGTGGTTTGACTTGAATTTGAGTAGGTATAAATTATCAACAAGTTATTAATAATGAGGTGAAAAGTTGTCCCACATTATGGATGCCGGATAGCAACTTGAGGGTCAGTATCCACGAACCAGTTTCCGCCGAAGCACAATGGAGGCCGGGGATATCGTAGCATTCGCAACTACACTTGCAGCAGTAGCTTGTGTCGTCGCCGTTGTCGGACACGATGGTAGATCACACAAGGAGCCCACCGATGAATGTTTACTCCATTCGAAACAACGTCTGGGAAGGTATTGCTGCCCGATTCCAGTATCGTTTCACAACTATAACTGTTCTACGTCACAGGCGTCGAAGCCTGCCCTGGAGATGGGTGGTACAAGCGCAATTTGCGTGTCAGCAGGTGCACATTTGACCAAATTGTGGATCGTCTCCAGGTTTTCGCGCACGATCAATGTCATCGCTTCCCTTCTATGAACGCCTTTGTCGACATGCGGATGAGGGTGGCCATGACACTCAGCTACTTGTCTCAAGAAGGGGGATTCGTGATAACGGCAGCATTGTTCGGGGTCGCAAAGGCCACGACAATTATCAACGTGAATGAGGTTTATATATCATAGAATTTTATTATTGTCGTGATAAAATGTTCTTGAGAGTTTAATTCGTAAATAGGTCATGGATCTTATTATTGCGTTCAGTTCGCCCGTTATTCAACTCCCCCAAAGTGATCAACAAGGGATAGCCAATGCTGAAAATTTCGAGCGCAGAGCTGGATTCCCCGACATCGGCGGGGCAGTTGATGGTTCTCTTTTTAGAATGGAAAAGCCGTATGAATATGCCGGGTAATATTTGAATGCATTAGTACTTAAACAGATATAAAATATTGATATATTGATGTGCATTAGTTGGATTTGTCGCAATGGGTTCGCCGCGATTAACTTGCAAGCGACGGTAGACGGCCGTGGGCGATTTATGGAGTACTCTCTGCGTCCGGGGTCGTGCGGTGACAAAAATGTGTGGCATATGTCGAGCTTGGGGCGACGTGTCCAAGCTATTTTGCCGGCGTACATGCATCTCATCGGTGATGCTGGATACGCCCTGGCCAGATACATGATGATACCCTACCCGATATACACTGGGATGCCCGGAAGTGAATCACGATACAAGTATCTTCAGTCTCGTTCACGGATCGTCGTCGAGATGGCCTTCGGCGCCCTGAAAGGCAGGTGGCGTGTCCTGAAGCGCACCTTGAATATGAAAACTCCAAGAAGTTGTGGTCGAACTATCGTTACCTGCATGGTGTTGCACAACCTCACGATAGATGCCGGCGATGACCTACGAATTACGGACCGAATTGACCCATATTTGGGACTTCACGTGCACGAAGAGACTTGGTCAGTGCAGCCGTCGAACCGTGAAACTGCCCTGCACAAGTGAAATGCAATTATACAATATATTGTATCCTTGTACTTGTGAGTCCATAAAACTATTAATATCGAAGTACTAGTTAGTATTTGTGAAAGCGTTAATCGTAGTTGACATGTTCATACGTGAAGTTACATTAATTTAGTGGTATCACTTCCTGAATTTTTTTACTTGCTTATCAACTTTGCAAGAGACTCAAATAGGACTTTGTTGAGTGCTGCCTGTTCCTTTTGTGCTGCCGCTTGCAACTGTAACATAATGTCAATTTTGTCTACAAGTGGAGACAAATCCACAACCGGTGCAAGTGGGGGTGATGTCTTCGAATTGGCCATCGTAACCAGAGCGTCTGCCATTCTGGAAAGCCCCACCTCCAACGAATCACCCAACGACTTCTTCGCTCCGACTGCCCGAGGAATCATTGGAGAGTGCGCGGCCGGACGAATTTTGGCAGCAGTGCTTGGGGGACTAATGGTGCCGTCGTCGGAGTCGCCCAGGGTCTCGTCAAAATTGTCCTGAATGGAGTCCATAATTGGCGACGAGTTCATTCCAGAGCATTCCTACAAAATTATAATAGAGTAAAAGTTGCATACAAATATATATATAATGAACCTGAAAATATTCCACAAGTATCTGCCAGTGGTCTGGGTAGTCGATTGATTCCTCCACGTTGCCAGTCTCCTCAGTAGCTTGGCACAGAGAACGATACTCTGTTTTCAACGCGGCGAATCAATTCGTCACTTGCTTAACATCGTAATTAACACCTGCCCTAATGTTAAAGCGTGCGGTTACAAAAGCCCACCATGCAGCCTTTTGCTTTGTCGTCTTGCATGCGTTGAACTTGCGCTTCGCTGTCTCGCTGAACCTGATCGCCATGAGATCTGCAATCATCTCACTGGTCCATGTAGCTCTCTTCTTGTCCACCGGAGATGACTTGATCGTCGGTTTGGATGTCCTTGGCTTCTTCGCTGTCGGGCCGTATTCGGCAGCCACTTCATGTTGCCCAAGCTCCGTCATTGTGAATGATTGGCCATGAAAATGGCCCTTACCACCGCTACCATCCGGACACATTACTCTGACCAGTTATTATTTTTACCGGATTACTTCAACCAGCACCAACTTTTTCTCACCCAAAAAGTCGTCGAAAAAAAATGAGGTAGATTTTACTTCAACCAGACCCTAAGGGTTAACCGTATAAATCTGAGTTACTATATAACTCCACCACGGAGAGGCGACGGCGGCGTCAGTGAACTGTGCACATCTACGATAACCCCTGTAGATGCTTAAGTGGATCTCTGAACGCCACCGACTGTCACACTCCTACGTCTAATGGCCAATATGTCCACCATGCTGACGCCGCCGCCACAGCCCTCAACATCGCATCGAAAACAAAGTCGCCCCGAATCTGAGGACGGGGAGGTGGTATCAGCATGGTGAACGAATTAGTTTTGTGTTTTGTCCGAGCTTACATCACAGTTGGGTTATTGTATGAGAATGCGCATGCGGTGATTATTGATAGCTCAAGAGTGTGCGGCGTCGAACTGCGGCATTGTTGAGCTAGGACGAACAGCCAAGTGCATCAACAACATGTCCATGGTAGACGACATATCCTTTAGGTATTATATGTTAGCGAACTCCACATCGAGTTTAGAAGGTAGTAGTCACAGGAAGCTATGTGAGCATTCATGTTACCACAGAGATCAGAGCTTTAACAACCAGTAACCTACTCTCGAATCTTCTCTCAAATGGCTTCACAGCCTCTCGCTCGTCTCTGCCACCGGTGGAGTTGCTCTTGGATACCATCAATCTTGCTTTCAGTGATGAGATACAACATTACGGACTAGGGTGAACCTCATGTCATAGTTTACCAACTTTCAATTCGATGAGTCGAAATAATAACTACTTCCTCTATTCCATAAAAGTGGAGACAATTTTTTGTGGTGCAATTTAATATGGAAGTTTGTATGAACAAATCAGGGTCAAAACGTATTTTTATTCAAGTTCAAGATGCTACGACGAAGGCTTGCATGACATCATGTGCATCACTCTTCATCATTATCGACAAAGTCCATATCGTGAGCCATCGCGCAAAGATTATCAATATTTGACATATTGATTGTACCTTTGATCGCACACGATGCCAACACTCCAGACAGATTATCTACTCGTCGCTCAAATTCCTTTCTACTATTCATCTCTTCGATGACACTCACAACCTCGGGATCACAAGCCAGCTGAGGGTTTTGTGGACTCTGTCTGGCAAGCTTGTCTTTGTGCATATGGGGCAACTTGTACGCATTGTCGCCACCGATCTTCAACGACTCCTCCAATACCTTCTGAAGCGTCATGAACGTCTTGTCCAGCACACGCCAATCCAGATTGTTGAATGCACCGATGACAGCAGCCACCAGCTCGTCAATTGTCGTGACAATCTGGCGGTGTTGGACGCATTGGATAGAGTTGAAAACCCCCAGGTCCAAGACGTTGAAGTCTGGACTCATGGCGGGCTGCGCCATGAGTTGAATCATCCAACCGTCGGACCGACCAGCTGCGGCTACGGCTGCGTCATCCACTTGAACATGAGGCCGTGCGTTGTCTTGCTGGATGTAAATCGGCAGATTGCGTCGACCGGGCCACAGCCGCTTGATACTTGCAATGACGTTGTCCACCAGGAATTGCCGGTAAATGGGCTTCGTCACTGTTAGGGGAGTCGTTACCAGTGTCCCCCGATCACGATTCTTGCTCTTGCGCTTCGCCGCAACCATGGACACAAACGGCCACGTCCCGATCTTGCCGTTCCACATCTCCATCTTGCCCGCATCATACCGAGGCCGCGCAACCGACGTCAAGAACATCACTTTGATGATGTGACGTTTGGACGTGCATCGTCGAATCGGTACGTCTTCGTCGTGCCAAAGGTAGTAACACCGATTGATTAGAGTGACGTAAAACCACTTCTTGTCGATGTGGACTCGATCCAACATGTCGTGCCAGCGCAGTTGACCACTTGCAGTCGAACGGACGAAAGAACGCGCAAACGACACCCGGTCCGTCTTGTACTTGTCAGTCATCATTGACTTGATTCGGTTAATCCGTCGTCGCAGCTTCTTTGTCTTCAACAGCCGCCAGAGCGTTGTCGGTGGAATGCCGATGGCAGTGGACAACGTTGCCAGGGTCATTCGTAGATGCGGTGCGGCCGCCTTGATTGCGGCCTCGATTTGTTGGACCGAACGCTTTGGTGACCTCCCGGAACGTCCCTTCTTCCGTCGAGCTACACATGCCAGCCCAGTCTGCTCCTTGGATCGCTGCCCCCGCTGCCATACCTTCGAAAGCGTCTGCCTGGATATGCCGTACCGATCCAACAGCTCGTTCAGGTGGCCATGCGGTAGACGACCGTTGACTTTCGTCTCCAAGAGCTCATGGTACAACTTCAGCTCTCGTCGTCGGGGAGGTCTTTTCTGGTCGTGGCCGGTGGCATCGTGGCTTGTCGGTGGCACCCCTTCCAGAAATTCTGAAGGATGCTAGCAGTATCTACGCTTCAAGACGAGTCGATTGCGCTTGATTTGAGCTCAATTGGATCAAAACTGACTGAGTTACGGGTAAAATTAAATTGGTTGGTGTTCTTCCAGGCACTCAACGCTTGGTTGTGAAGCATCAAGAACGAATAAAAAAAATCTAAAAATACCTGTCGACTCGTTGTTCTATTGGCTACATTTAGCTACAATTTCACACAATTCTGGCGTTTGCTGTCCGAGAAATGCTACTGAGAAAAATTGTCTCCACTTTTATGGAATAGAGGAAGTAATTACCTTATCAACCTAATTAATACATGTAAAGCGCCAAGTATGACATATGTGCCAATTTAGGTCGTATGAGAATGCACCAATCATACATCGTATTTTGAATATGCACCAATCATACAGTGAACCTCTGAATTTCTATTCATAGTTGCTTACAAAAAGGAAGGTTAAAGTATACAACTTAAATTGGCACTCAAAATTATAGAGGTTTCGAGTCTAAAACGGTTTCCAAGGACTGTAAGCCTTGTCTAAGCTTATATAACCCTAATCATGGAGTGTTCACCAGGGAATTCTCTACCTTTAGGACTTTTTAGAATTCGAAAAATGATGAAGCAGGACGGAGTGCCCATTTATCAAAATCAAATGAAAGTTGAATGCCATAAATTGGCACTTTATGTTGTTACACATTTGACCTACATATAGTATCCCGCTTGTCGTTGATTAACGTTGGTTTTGCATAATTATTATATTTTGAAGAAGCATTGATTAACGTGCTAAGACTGTAACACAAGGGGGAAAACATGTGAAAGCACAATAACACGTTACTCGGAAATCCATGACTTTATCGAACCGTCGCTGCTTGCTAAGTCCGACTGGTGAATGAATATGAATGAGTACGACGTTGTCTTGTCAGATAAATCACATAAATACATTGTATTTCTGTACAAGCGCTTTCAAAATAATTTGTTCGTCAAAATAATTTGTTCGTGTGTGGACAACTGAGGCATGTACAGACGACGGATTTTAAGGGACACGTGATATTGTGCTTTTCACAAATTTTGCCCGTTGTTTTAGCTCCTAAAACCATCCAAAGTTTAACCTAAACTGAAGTTGCACTCGACGTAAAAGTAAGCTTCCCCACCGTTCTGTCATTGGCTCATCTAAAACTTGCGTTGTTTTACTAAAACTACTTCGTTTTATTAACTCCCGTGGCCAAGCAGTCATGCAAAGTAATAATGACCTACTGGGGTAAGCTCGCAGTGCACCAGCTCACACGAGCTTTGCAGCCAGCTTGTTAGCAACTCGTTGGCACGAAAAGTCGAGCAAGAAGCACTCAACATCAACCTTTATCGAGCATAGTCAAGAATCACACTCGCGTGTATTAGTTAATCCACTCTGTAAACCCCCGCCTTTGTCGAAATGAAATGGGCAAACGCTTCAGGTTAGCAACATATGCTACAGGAACAGCTCTTGCTCATCCAATCATAGGTACTTCCGATTAGCAAAACTAAGAGCATCTCCAACGGTGTTTTTATTTCTATTTCAATTCGAAGTACGGATATAGAATAAAAATTCTTGCACTATCCGGAGGGTTAGTTGCTACTGATTTCCCCCCAGTTCGAAACGGCTGATTATGAACAAATTTCACAGTAAATGCATTTTCAAGGTTATCAACTTTAACAGCACTACTTGTGGCCAACAATCCTGGGATTCTGCAGTCCGGCTTCTCGGCGTAGGATCCCAGTACGGGACCAGCAGTTCACGATTGTGGATTGCGAGACTTCGTGCCAGGCATCTTTGGCCCACGCCATGGCGTCAACAAGGGGGACTTCGTACAGTTTGTCCTGGCGGTCAGCCATGACCGCGTCGATTTGCTCCAGGGCGTCCTGAAGCTGGCGTTGCTTGACCTTCGCCTTGAAGGAAGCAATGATCCCAGCGTCCTGGGGTTGAAGGTACGCTGTCGTGTTAGGTGGCAGCATCTTCAAACTGACTTTGTTAGGACGGTGTCCTCCTTCACCTTGTGCGGCGACGCGTTGTCGACAAGAAGCAAAACCCGTCGGTTTGCCGCCTCCATCCTTGCGTTGAACGATCGCATGTACGTGTCGAAAATGGCTCCATTCATCCAGGCCTTCTTACTCGATGTGTAGTCGAAGCCAAGATCTTCAGCAGTTTGGCCGTTGAAGCATCGGGGACGGACTGCACTGCCGATGAAGAGGGGCTCAACGAGGTCCGAACCGTCGGCGTTCGTGGTGAGGGCGAGGGTAATCCTATTCTTCGACTTCTTGGTACCCGGGACACGGCTGCGTGTGATTGATCGGTGCGGCGACATGCACCAAAAAAAGGAAGTTTCGTCCATGTTGTACACGTCACTGACCTCGTAACCCGTAGTTGCCTCCAGCATTTGTTCGCGTCCTTGGTCAACGGCTTCTTGCGGCGTTGATCCTGCTTCGCCGTGTTGTCGCTTGCTGGTCAGACCGTGCTTGCGTTGGAACTTGT